GGGCGGGGCCGCCTTCCCCCCCCCCCCCCGAGGCCAGTCAGAGTCTGTGGGTGGGGGAGCAGCCCCATCTCCTGACCCCGCCCCTTCTGCGCCAGGCCCCGCCCACACCCACTTCTGACATGTAAGTGCCTCCCCCCTTCAAAAATGAGTGCCCACCCCCGGTTTAACAGGTTACCCAATTAAGCAGGATTTGACATCTCTAGCAATCCCCACGCTGGGGATTAGGTCTTAGCAGCTGCTCCGAGGTGCGGATTTTTCACCCCCCTGCGCGCTAGAGCTGGGCACCCGGGCCTAAGTGATAGGGCAGGGGACAGCTGTGTCCTCGACCCTGCCATGGCTCCAACGCACGCCCAGCCAGCTGCAGGGGCGGGATCCCTGCCTGGCAAGACCCCAGCGGCCTGCCAGGGTTGCTTGCAGCTCTAGGAGGCTTGGCCAGCGTGTGGCCGCTAAACCCAACCTCCGCTCGGCTGCCCTTCCCGACCGAGACACAGGCCCCGAACCGGCGACGCTGCGTAGGCCCTGCAAGCGGGAGGACCCTGGGACCCCTGCAGCCGTGCACAGAGCCAGCTGCCCCCCGGCCTCCCTCGCAGCGCAAACCTCTGCCATGTGCAGGCTGCGGGGAGTGAGGTCGCGGGCAGGGGTCAGCGCTTAACACAACGGCAATCAGCCAGGGGCAGGCCGGCAGAGCGGTCCAGCTGCTCCGGGGCAGCCTCGCGGGGCGGGGGCTCTCGCGGCTCGATGAATCAGAAAGGCTTTGGGATTAAAATACTGCGCATGGAAACCTCTGGCTCACAGCTGGCCGCCGTCACCCAACGCACCCAGAGCCCACGCGGTGACTTTCCACTGCCTGGGGCTGCATGGCCTGGGCGGGGCCTCCTCCTACGGGCCAGCGGATCGAAAGCCCCCAGCAGCCGGGAACACCTGGGTTATGCTCCCCTTCCAGCCAGTTGGCCCGCCTTGGAGTTACAGGCTGTTCCCACGGCTCCGGTCCCTACATTTCCCCCCACCTGCCTTTGCCCGTCTGCCTGGCCTGGTTTCTCTCTCCCCTCCCCCCCATGGCGTTTGCACAGTCTGTCCCTTAATCTCTTCCTGGCTGTTGCCCTCCGATCCTTTTATCCACCGTTCCTTCCTTCGTGGGGGACTCTCCAATGGGTCTTTCCCTTTCGGAAGGGAGAGCGTGCCTATGCGGGTATCTTTTCCAGGCTCTGGGCCTCTCCTGTTCAAATCCCGCCCAAGTGGGCACGTTCAGCTGGTAGCTTTCCTGCTAGTGGAGTTCCCTTACCAGAGCGATATGAGCCAACTTCTTTGCTGAGTTTCTCCAAACTTGTGCTTTGTTTGCAAATGTATTCAGCCGAGGGGAGGGACTGGCATGACCCTCAGCTGCCTTTGCTAAACACAGCAGATGGCAGCAGGTTAGGCTAACACAAACTACAGCAGCAGGAACATGGGGCCTTGATATAGGCAGACAGAAAAGGACCAGCTGCAGCATTTTACTCCCAAGAATCGGGAGATGTTCACAAAGTCACACGGATGGACGTGCTGGCCTCACGTTTCCGCAGCTTTTTCCTGATCATCCAGGCTACGTCTACACTCTTGCACAAGAGTTTAGCGCAAAAACTTCTTGCGCAAGAGCGCGTCCACACCTCAAAGCACATCGCAAAAGCCATGTGCTTTTGCACAAAAGAGCGTCCACACTGCATGGACTTGTGCTTTTTCCCATTGGGGTTCCTTGCACAAGAAACTCCTCTGGAGCATCCACACTTGCCTTTTTGCACAAGGACTCTTGTGCAAAAGGGAGTTATGCCTCGTAAAAGGAGGTTTACCTACGGCGGAAAAAGCCCTCTGTTCTGCCGTTTTACTCATGATGATTTTCTTGCACAAAAGCGTATTTGAGGTGTGAATACTCTGTGGGTTTTTGCGCAAAAACCTTGCCGTGTCCCCAAAGTATAAAGTTTTGCGCTTCCAAAAGTATCCCACTACAGAGGCATAAATAGACCTTGAGATGTGTTTGCTTGCTTTGAAACCTACAAAAGCTCAAGAAGAGGCAGGTGGTGGTAGGCCCGTAAATCTGCATCGTGAAAAGGACTGGGTTTTGCTTGGAGTGAAATCTTTGGTTATGACTGCACAATTTTCACTGCACAATGAGGCTGTGTCTACACTCGCAGCCAGAAGGAGCTGTCTACACTGCCCCTTGTGCAACAGAAACCCTCTTGCGCAATGCCATTCTTCCTGAAAAGTAATCGGTGTCACGGCATTACGCAAGAGGGGTTTTGTTGCACAGGAAGGGGGCCATGTAGACAGCTCCTCCTGGCGCAAGAGCCTCTTCTGCAAAAAAAAAAAAAAAAAAAAGCAGCTCATTAGGTATGCAAATGAGGCACAGTGGTATTCCACGCTTAGCCTCATTTGCATATTTCTGGCACAAGAAGCCGGGAGTGTAGACATAGCCTAAGGAGCTGGAGAAAAGCTTTCTGGAACTTAGCAGTTCAGGACCAAAGCTGCTAGGGTTTTAACCCCTGCATGACTAGACTGTGTGGAAGCCGGAGCCCTGGACAAAACTGGATCCCGACTGCTGCTGGGGGAGTCGGTCTGCTTGATGGGGAGAAGGGGAGCATTAAGAGGCTTGGCACGTCTCTTCTGCTGTTTAACTGTTAGTTGCTGCTATAGACATGTACCTGTGGAAGCAAATTTACTGTGGGATAAAGGCTCCTTTACAGAAACAAGCTTCCATTAACCTGTAAAGGGCCGTGTTAACCCAAGGGGGAGGAAAGAGACACAAACTGGGCCATGTGACCGTGTTAGTAACGCACTGGAGAAAGCTCACCCTGGCTGCGTGTTTCAGTGTAAAAAAAAATCAGCTGTGAAAAAGTTAACCATGTCGACATGTACATGGCCATCCTTAGGTTTCAGAGTTAACACCCATTTAAAAGGCAGGAGCACGTTTCACCCCTTTTTTCAGTCTGTCTGCACATGCTGCCTTGATTTCCTTTCCTGTGTGACATCCACACCCTGATGCTTCGTGTTTTGTTAGTGAAAAGTGTTGGGAGCACAGTGTGGTCAGCCCACCTCCTAATGCGGCAGGAGCAGGTTCTGTTCTCTTGGAAGCGCTTCCTGTCTCCGGCAATGGCTGTGCACCTGGGAGAGGAAACCCAGCTCTCCTGCAGGCTGAGCCCAAAGTGGGCTGCACAGCCAAAGCGCCCACCTGGGCACCGAGCTGGCGGCCAGGTCAGGTTGGCAGGGAAGGGTTAGGTCTGGGCAGGGGCCGGCTAGTGGCAACAGCAGGGGCTTAGTGCAACACCTGCCTCCCTCTCAGGCCACACAGTGACTGGGGGCACGTTGCAGCCCTGAGGCCTCAGTTTCTCCAGCTGTAAAATGGGCCCAGTGCATGAGGCAATCACCCGCCTGGCTGAGGTGCAGCTCGGCCCTGAGCTGGCTCCCGCCCCTACCCCCACCGGCCACCAGGAACCA